AAATATTTATTATAAATTTAAAAGTTTAAATAATAATTTATATATTTTAAAATATTACTTTTATAATTTATAATGATAATATAATTTATAAAATTATAACTATTTATTTATTACATATTTATAAATTAAATTTTAACATTTGAAATAAATTATTAATTAACTTAATACATTTATTTATCTTAAATCTAAGATATAAAATTCAAAAAATGTATTTATCGTTAGTTTATTTTCTAATTATCAATCATTAATAAAATATTAATTTAAAGTCTTAGCTAATTATATCATAATATTTTCATATTAAATTTAAAATCAAATATTAGTTATAAAAAAATATCAAGATTACATAGTAAATTTTCAATAAGATATTCTAGTTAAATAATTTAAAATAATTAATTTTTCAACTATATTGTTAGCAAATAATTTATTCGAAACCTAATCAATTTTTTTTCAATATTAATTATTAGTAAAATTTAATAAATTTTAATTTAAAAGTTGAATCGATGAAATTCAACATACACTATGAGTTATTGAACGAAGTAAATTCACTTCTCTCTCTCTCTATATATATATATATATAATTTACTAATCTTTTTTAGATAATAATTTATTAGAATATATATATATATATATATATATATATTCATTTTTTTAATATATGATTGTCAATTTTAATCCTCTTTATTGTTACCGAACAGAATATTAAACATTTTCGATGAATGCAATTTTCGATAGATTATTAAACATTTTTGACAAACTAATATCCATTAGTAACATTGCCTCGGAAAATTTCGACTTAAACACCTATAAAAAAATTTCGTAAAAAATTCTTACATTTTCAACAAATATAAATTCATTAGAAATATTTCATTGATAATACAATTTTTCCTACGAATTTTTTCCATCAAAAATATAATTTTTTCAAAATATTTGTATTTGTCAGAAATTATCGACGGATATATTCATCGTGTAACGACCCAGCTAGTCACTACACACGGCACATCACACCGAAAACACCAGAAAGATAGAACAAGCATATAATATAGGATCTAGAATATATGTATATACAAGGTTCCAATCCGACTAGAGTTAGAGTGTATAACAAAATACATCAAAGCTACTACACCCAGTAGCTAAAACAACAAAATGTCTAAAACAAATCAGCTCCATCAACCAGCTATAGACCTATCGCCAGCCACTAACCTATCCCTGCTCTGCTCCCATACAAAGTATGATCATTGCAGTCCAAACATCAAGGAGACAACAAGGGTAAGCTAGTGTAAAGAAATCAACATACCTATATAAATATGTGAATAGAAACATCTACAGCTATTAGCACACTCGCACAACTTATACTACACCATAGCAATTTAGCAATATCAGCACCGCTCAGCGGCTATAACAGCACCACAATAGTGACTAACAACACCGACATAACAGCTAGAACAGCACCACGATAGTGGCTATAACAGCACCGACATAGCGGCTAGAACAACATACAGCTCCGAAATTATACAGCACAACACATCAAAACAGCTTACAACACAGCTAGGTAGTATTCAACACAGCCTACTACTCACACCTCAGCTCATCATTCTAGAGCACAGCAAAATCATATAATACAACATTTAAATTCATCAATAGCAGCCAGCTCAGCGCAGCATTAACATCTATTCAGCACAGCATAATCATCATTTTCGGCAAAGTTTAACGAATAAAAGCATATCAATTCAACATTCTTCTACGCGCCCAGCGCAACCAAGGTCGCGCCCAGCGTAGCTCAAACAGAGAGCATCAGGGGCCAACACGCCCAGCGCAAGACTGCTCGCGCCCGGCATGGCCCCTCACGCGCCTGGCGCAATTGAAAATTGCGCCCAGCGCTTGCCAGGCAGAGACTCCATGGAGTCCCACACGCCCAGCGTGCCTGGACCCACGCCTAGCGCGGGAAAGGCAGAGACCTCCCCTTGGTCTCGCGCCCAGCGCAATTTGAATTGCGCCCAGCGCCCTCTTGGCAAAGACTCCCAAGGAGTCTCGCGCTCAGCGTAACCAGGGTCGCGCTCAGCGTAGAACCACCACCCAAAATGTTGCCTGCGCGCTCGGCACGATTCCTGACCCGCCCGACGTGGGCCAACTAGAGGCTCACCTTCTCAAGCTCGCCCGGCGCACACATCTTTGCGCCCGACGGGATTGTCAAAAGGAAGCCCCCAGGTGGTCTCGCGCCCGGTGCGAAGAACCGCGCTCAGCGCAAGGCTCATTAGCAACCCATCCAAGTTCAAAATTTTGCCAAAAACCCTGCGAGAATCAACAGAAAAACCACATGCATTCCAGCCAAAGTACCACATTTTCAACCAAGAATTCAAAAACACCAACCTTTTTCACATGCAACCATAAAACAAGAAAAACCCAAAATTTCTTCAAAACCCCACAAAACCCGAAAACCCCAATTGATAATTTTTCAGCAATCTCAGCCCAAGATCATCCATCAACAAGCAGCAAATGAGTATCTAAGACTCATTCCCAACCAAAAACAGCAAGGTAACTAGCTTCCCTTACCTCGGTAGAAGAAATCCGAGCTCCGGGACGAGAAGACAAAGAAGAACGAGAAGAAATGAAGCTTGAACGAAGAACAACGGAGGAATGAGAACTTCAACTAGCTTCTAACACCAAATCAGCACCTACACCCAAGAATCCAGGAAAAACGGAACCAACGCAGCAAGGGTAGGAAAGTGAGTAAGAGTGAAAGAGAGTTAGAGTGGGGAAGGGTGGAATGGAAAAAGAAAAGATAGGGGTCTCACACATCGAAAATATAATTTTTCGATAGATTTGTATCCGTCAAAAATATAAATTTTTTGATAGATTTGTATCCGTAAAAAATTATCCATCGATAAAATCCATTAGAAATATAAATTTTTCGATAGATTTGTATCCGTCGAAAATTATCCATCGGTAATATAAATTTTTCTACGAAGTTTTTTTTCGTTGATAAAATCTATCGAAAATATAAATTTTTCGTTAGATTTGTATTCGTCAGAAATTATCCATCGATAATTTGCATTTTTCTTGTAGTAATAAATGAAATAATTTAATAACATTTTTGGTCCCTTAAATATAATAATTGTATAATTTTGTCACTTTAATTTTTGATTGAATAATCTTAATCATTTAATTATCATAATTGTGCAATTTAATTTAATTTATTAATATTAATAATTTTTATTGATGTTGTGCTAACAGATGATTATTTCTAATTAATTTTCTTCTAACATATTTATTTGTATCTAATATATATGATTATATTTTTGTAAATATATATTAATATATAATAATTTTATATTTATGAAGTTTTTTTTTTTTTAGTTCGTCCTTGGAGTATCCACCGCCGATAGCAGTGACTAATCTCCTCGCTACGTTTGAGGCATCTCAAAGGGTGAGATAACTATTCTAAAGATTTAACGCAACTGCATACGCAAGGCAGGATTGAAACCCCTGACTTTGTGTATGAATATATTAATAACATTATTGACTTTTTTTATTAGGTTATTGATAATATTTTAATACTAATATATATATATATAATTTATTTAATCTATACTAATATATAAAAGGGATATCTTTTTAAGTAATTATCTTGGTGTCTACTTTTTTTTTCCCATTATACCTTTTATTTTTTTACCTTGGTTCAATATATTTTTATTATTTAATTTTTATTTTTATTTTATTTTTAATAGAGACACAAAGTACCTTGACCTCACTAGTAATAATAAATATATATCATTTCATACATTAATTTATAATATAATGAAGAGGATTATTTTATTTAATATACAAATTTTTTAAACAATTTTATCTTTAAAATTTTAAATAATAAAAAATAATATAGAAAATTAATCATTCTTAAATAAATAAGACTCAATTCAAAATGAAATCAAATATAACATTAACTAATTTTTTAGATATTAATAATTTTTAAATATTTTTGTTATATATATTTATATATATAATAATAATAATAACCTATTTAAATTCAACCAAATTACTTTATTAATCTTAAAAATATTTTTGTTATATATATTTATATATAATAATAATAATAATAATAATAATCTATTTAAATTCAACTAAATTACTTTATTAATCTTCCTATCTATTTATTTCAACTGTTTTTGTAAAAAGAAAGAATTGGAGATGCAGGGGATCGAACCCTGTGCCTCTCGCATGCAAAGCGAGCGCTCTACCATTTGAGCTACATCCCCTGTTTTTAAGTATAATTTAATTTTACAATTTTAAAATTAATATGTTAAATCCTAAATTCCAAGCCTTCAACCCTAAACATTAATATTACAAATTTAAATATTTTAGACCTCCGTTAAAATGGGTATAAAAAAACACCTCTTACGAAACATTTCCAATAATTATTTTGTGTATAATAAAAGTTAAAATTCTACTATTAAAGATTGTGGTCAATGTGCTGTTATTTAAGTACCTCTCAAGTATATGGTTGTTATCTTTATATTAGATGATACAACATTAAATTTTAAGTAGATTTCTAATTTAACGAAAAAAATACAAATCGCTAATAATGGAAAACATGTATACCTGATTAATAATAATAAATTAGAGATATCATATATTATACCACATTAATAAGTATCATTTGAGATGATCGTATAATTAACTTTTATTAAAATATAATTAAGTCACAAATAAATGTCATATAATAGTGGAGATGAAAAATAGTAATTTTATATTTTTTAAGGGATATGGAAACTAAAGAAAAAAAGTTTATAAATATTTTTAAAAAATCATTATTTTACATATACTTGAAATATATTTAAGCCTACCTAGATATAATATAAATAGAGTGAAAAAAAAAAACGTGAGAGATACTAGTAGGTGTTTGCAGCAGTGTTAAAAAATATATATATATATATATATATTACACTCGATTCTTGAGAGTTTAATAAAAATATATATATAAATATATATATAGTGAGAAATTCAACTATAAATTGATTGTCAAAGTTAAAGATTAGATAATGATTTACATTATCACTTAAAAGAAAAATACATACATTTTTCTCAAATCATAGGCTGTACTAAAAAAAAATTACATTCAACCTAATTCTCTTGCTTCGAGTCAAGCCACTCTACGCAATCACTTGAAACTGGAAAAATGTCAGCACCGAAGGAAGTATCACGAGGGTCCTTCCCGTCCAAGAAGGCGGAAGGAATGAACGGCCCGATGGGGATCATGTTGAGCTTATCAACGCCGCTCAGCGCCTCTTCTTCCAATGCTTCAAAGGTGTTGACGAGTACAATAGGGTTGGGATCTAGGTCAAGCTGGTGAATCTGCTCTTTAAACAAGGTAAAAAGAAAAGACGATAAAGCCGGTTCCCGCTGCAATAAAGAAGAGGGTATGTCACGTGGTGAGAGAGAGAAAGAGAAGCCCGGAAGCAGAATGGCGCTGGTTTTACTTTTACTTTTATCGTTGATGTGATCGGCGTAACCGTGGAAGTAGTGGTAGAGGATGTTTAACACGGTGGCGGGTTGGATCCAGAGCATGGCTGACGGGAAGTTGAAGCGACGCGCAAGCTGTGGGGCCCAGGGGATGAGCAAGGTGTGGAGGAAGCAAGTGAAGGGGTTACCCTCTTTGGCGCTTGAGAGTATGAGATGGGAGATGAAGTCAGAGGCGCGTTGCTGGAGTTGGGTGGCGTGGAGGGTTAAAGCTGAGTCGTCGGCATCGACCGGGTTGAAGCCCTCATCGTAGCCGTCGGAGAAGGGGGCGAGGGAGAGGCCAGGGATGGAGGTTTTGCTGGCGATGCGCCGGTGGAGGTGGAGAGGGATCGGGAGAGTGACACGTGCACCCATGGAAATGACTCGCTTCGCGAACTGAAGAGCAGGGTTTATTTGGCCCTGTGCGGGGAAGATCACCAGGACGATGCGCTGTTCGGACATGGTTTCAAATTCAACTCTCAAGGAATGGTTCCTTGCTAAATCCGATTCCTAGCAATGTTCAAAAACCTAAAAGGATATTTCTTTTTCCATTTTTCAGACAACAGTGACTTGTGTTCCACTTGAAATCTTTAAGAAAGGGTTATGGTTTACAGAATTGGGCCAATGCACCCAAAGTTTTAAGTTTTTGTCTTTTTTTTTTTTTCCCAATGAAGTCTGTTAGGCCTTTTCTTGAAATAAGTTTAGTATAACATATAATGTATTAAATGTAATAAGAAAAAATTAAATAATAATACAGAAATATAATAAATTATGTAAAACATAACACTAACATATATATATATATATATAGTAAACTAAATAATAGTGTTCTTACCGGAAATCTACTGTAGAGCTGATCCGCCGGGTAAGATTGGTGAGCCTCCTTCGCTGGGTGTATTGGTGCTCTGAGATGGGGGAGGTACCTGCAAAAGAGACTCTAATGCTAAAGTTAGGGTTTGTATGAGTATGAGTCTCGTATATATAATGCACATACCTTTGTGTGAGTTAGGGTTGTCTTGGGCCTGAGATAAGATATGATATGATACGATATCATATAATATGATATGATCACGTTGTGACATAATATGGTATAATTGGAGAACGGTTTTAGCCTGGGACGAGATCTCCGGGCTCGGGCGTGATCTGTCCGGATTCCGGGCTGACGTTGTTCAACGCGTGCCCGGGATGACCCTTATAATGTCAACCCGGGCTGAGAGCCCGGGTGCGAAATGCGGTCAGTACACTAGCCCCCCGAGCTCCGAAGGCCGTAGGCCGAGGAGTTAAGGTCGGGCTCGTGAGAGGAGAGGTGGCTTTGCGCGTACGCTAGCTGGAGGCTCGCCACGTGTCGCGACTGTTCATGCTCTGGAGACGTTTGATTGACGTATTGGGGGCAGTGACGGTTTTTTAATGATGGTTTGGTAATAAGTGTGTCGTCGGGTGTGCCTTTCAACTGACACGTGTCGCGTCGGTTTTGAATTTCGGGGAGAGTTTTAGCCTTTCTCTCTTCTCGCGCCTCTTCCCTGTCTTTCTTCTGACTTCTCGAGTACGAGAGCTTTTCTTGGTTCCCTTTACCTCCTTTCTCTTTTGCGCTTCCGTCGCCGTCGTCGTTTCCGGTAGTCCCTTCTTTGTTAGGGTTGTTTTCTGAGGAGGAGTACCAGGTACTTCCTTTTTAATTGCTTCTTCTCTTTTTTCATGGTCGGTGGAAGTGGTGCCGGATCCTCTGCGTCTGCCAGGGGCAAGGCGCGTGGCAAGGTGGTGGCCGCCGGAAGGGTCACTGTTGAGAAGAAAGATTCCCCGCCACCTAAGGGCCCAGAGCCGGGCGTTCCTGGTTACGACTGAGTAAACGCGAGGTGGCCGAGGCTCAGAGCATTTTTCGCTCTTTTCAAGATAATAGGTTCAACTCTATATACAAATACAATTCATGCCCTAGAAATCCTTTGCCCCGATGTCACAATATCAGAGCATGCCCATAAATCAACAGTTGGCATTCTGGATGTCATTCAAAGCCAGATCTTCCTCACCTAAAACATCCACAAATTGTACGGTGAGAAAAGAAAACATCTATATGTAAAACACATAAGGAAAACACAACATAGTCTCATCATTATTCATGAAATATTCACAAGCATTTATATATATATCATAATTAACAATCATTTATCACATCTCAATCCACACAAATCTTACAATTAACACTATGCCAAGGCCACACCACAAATGGCATAAGTGATACAGGTTAATTGCCACATTCATCCCACACTCAATTTTAGTTTTGCATTTTGTGTTGTGTTTTTTTAAAGATCAAAGACTAAAGTGTGCATGAGCCTGAGTTAAAGGGGGAAACGAGATTTTACTCTTAATTTTATTTTGAAATAGGAACAATGTTACACTGTTACTATTATACGGGGCCATGCCATCCCTGATCATTGATGTGAGGAACCACAATCACAATCATAATCATATCCACACAACATCTCATCTCATATCTCAATTTCATATTACATACACAATTCCATATCACATACACAACAGATAAGTCCAACAAAATAAGGGTTTACACACCCTTCGAGCAATTCACATCTAGATCATCAATTCTTGTAAAGTAATATAACAATAACATTCATAAATTAATACAATAATCAATGGAATTACCAATTTAATATAATCTCAACATAAACGATAAAACCCCCAATTATTCCAAAATCTAACTCACAGGCACTTTTCTACAATTTCGTTCTCTTTCCCAGATCATCATTCTTACAAATTTAAATATATATTTCTAATCCTCACACATACAGAATCTAATGGGATCATCAATTCCTCAAACAGAAATAATCCAATTTTCCACAACCTAACTTACAAACACTTTTCTATAATTTCGTTCTCTCTCCCACATCATCATTCTTACAAATTAAATGTATATTCATAATCATAAATTCATACAGAATCACATAAGACCAATAATTCTCTAAATAGAAATAATTATAAAATTACTCATAATCTTAAGGGACTCTTCCTTTACCCAATTCCCTCATGTAACTCTACATACAAATAATTTCCTTTTCTCCCGTACCTGGATAAACAGTAGCTGAAACTAAAATAGAGATCTCTTGGTCTCCTCCTCTAAGTGCCCCTCGATCTTCAGAGAGTGTAGAAGGGAAAGAAGAGAATGTAGAAGAAAGAAGTCAGAACTAAAAGAAGTCAGAACCGAAAAATATGATTTTGGGAGTGTCAGAGCACTCAATTTATAGGCATCAGGATTCGCGGAACGGCCCCTTTTGAAATCTCACGTCATGTGTAAAATTCACATATAGAACGGTCCGTTCTCAAACTAGAATGGCTCGTTCTGGGGTTTGCATTAAAAACTCTCAACGGTCATATTTTGGAACGGCCCGTTCTCAATAAGGTTCAAAGGCCTTTTTTAAAATCCGGAACGGCCCGTTCTAGTTGGGAACGGCCCGTTCCCAACTAAGAATCATAGGCAAAATTTAATGGTTTGGAACGGCTAAGAATTAGATGAAAATATTGATATAATGAAAAATAATAATTACTAATGAATGTTATCTTTGCCTTCTAAAATGATGGATAAATAAGAACACAAATTTTAGTCTAAAATGTCCGATAGAAAGAAATGGTGGGAGTAAAAGTATTTTATATTAATGTTAGTGTATAAACGTTTTTAAGAGAAAAATTGAAGAAATGCCTAATATTAGGAAAATGCTACTTGTAAGAAATTTATCTTACGGAGTCCAAGTTGGAATTGTGGATCACTCAGAAAAAGTTACAGTGGAACTAAGGTGTTATCCGATAAATTGTACGGGAATTAGTGAGGTTTTGTGCCAGATAAAGTATTTGCAAGTGTCATGCCAATACTAATCTACATGTTTTCACGTGTATAATTTTTTTATTACAGTACATCTGTAGTATGAGTAGAGTCAGAAACGGTACACATTAAAGCATTAATGTGCACAAACTGTGAAAGCAAATGTGCAAGCAACTTAATACATGAGTTTGCCAAAGAGTTGAGTCTTCAGTGTAAATAGTTTTTTTGTTTACACAGCAATATTATTCGTAGTTCATTCTTATAAACTTAAATATTCATTGCTTTGTAAATAATGTAAAATGACCCATGATTTTTATAGTAGTCCCATGAATTTTAATGCAGATGCGTGTATCTGTTTTGGGTGGTAAAGGCCAACAAGAAAATAAACTAGTAGAAATGAGAATGTTGTGGAGGATAAGTGGCTCTACTCAATAAGATAGGATTAGGAATGAATGCATTAGAGAGAAAGTTGGGTGAGCACCTATTTAGAAAAGATGGTTGAAGCTTGCTTTATGTAGTTTTATTTAAAAGACCTGTAGAAGCTCCAGCTAAGAATAGTAGATCAGTTGGAGGGTAGTCTAATTTATAGACACGAGGGAGAGTAAGAAAAACTGCAGGTGAAACCATTAAGGATTTAGAGGTTAATAGTTTGTCTTTGACCCATGTAGTTGACCTCAATTGGTGAGAAAATGCTTGGTTGTTGTCCTTGTAACTAACTAATTGGAAAGTTTGGTTGTTGTTCTAACTAATTGGAACATGGAAGTTAATCACAATGTTAATCTTGCTTCATGATAGCATTTTTATGCTTCATGTAATCCTGTTTTGGAAGTGGCCATTTAGATTCAACATCATGTAGCTGCTTTGGATCTACAGGTGATAATTCTTGCTAGGGAATCTGGATTAAAGCTAGAATTGTCTAATATTCCAGTTGGAAGCCTTGTGCCAGAACCACTACGAGTAAGAACCAATTTAAAATTGATTGTTAAGTTTTTAGTTTTAGCATGTAGCATGTTAATTGACACAGATGTTATGATGATTCTATGCAGGGTTGTGCATCAGCTCAGGAGTTTATGCAAGAGCTACCAAAATTTGATCAGGAGTTCACAAAGAAACAAGAAGATGCTGAGAATGCTGGGGAAGTGAGTAAATTCAACAGTATTCTTTGTTAAAGTATCTAAAAGAATAATTGTATTCCATATAGACCTTGATTCAAGTAAACACAGTATTGAATGAATGGGTTAATGTTCGTGTTCGGCCTTTAACGAGAGTGCTGGGGTTCGTGCTCGACCTCGGGTTTGCCTTTTTAAGGTTCAAACTCGACCTTTATCAAGGATACTGGAGTTCGTGCTCGACCTCGGGTTTGCATTTTTAAGGTTCGAACTCGACCTTTATCAAGGATACCGGGGTTCGTGCTCGACCTCGGGTTTGCATTTTTAAGGTTCGAACTCGACCTTTATCAAGGATACCTGGGTTCGTGCTCGACCTCAGGTTTCCATTTTTAAGGTTCGAACTCGACCTTTATCAAGGATACCGGGGTTCGTGCTCGACCTCGGGTTTCCATTTTTAAGGTTCGAACTCGACCTTTTTCAAGGATACTGGGGTTCGTGCTCGACCTCGGGTTTGCATTTTTAAGATTCGAACTCGACCTTTATCCAGGATACGGGGTTCATGCTCGACCTCGGGTTTGCATTTTTAAGGTTCGAACTCGACCTTTATCAAGGATACTGGGGTTCGTGCTCGACCTCGGGTTTGCATTTTTAAGGTTCGAACTCGACCTTTATCAAGGATACCGGGGTTCGTGCTCGACCTCGGGTTTTA